ACCCAACCTGCCAGAGAACTAACATTTTTCTTACTTCGCCCAAAACTATTTGCTGTTTATTGTGGTACTAATATACTTATAATAAGGCTGCTAAGATGTAAACCTTAACTTTTCTTGAAAAGGACAAGCATGGTTTTCCCTTATCCCTTAAATCTCCTTAAAGGCTAGTCAGGTTGCTTGCCATATTAAAGTACAAGGGCTTGAGAATAAGGATGGGGTGAGGCCAAGTCCAACTTTTACAGGTATAAGGCTAATAGGGTGCTTTGTCAAAGAACTTTGGAAGTACCACTGTTGGGGTTGTTCAGTAAAGTTTTGCGAAACACAAACAATGTGTACAACATGTCTAATTGGAGTTGTGCTTCCTTGGCAGATTCCCTACCGGAATTGGTTCTACAATTTGCTTTTTGCTCTTCTGAAAAAGATCAAATGACAGCTGCATCAAATACATTGACAATATTGTATTGCCTGTAATAAAGTGTCTGGCCTAGAACTGGTTAATACACCACACAGATATGTTTTCTGTGATCCCTGTTGTGGTATTAGCCAATCATCAGAATAACAAATAGCCCAAGTTAGATGTTTGATCTGATCGATTTTTTTTTCACACTTGTTCTAAGCATCTACTTCATTGCTTGTGTATAGAGGCAGTTGCATAAAAAATGTCCTAGCAAGCCTCACTGCCCTTTAAAAATGTGATTCTCACTCTGTCTACCCATATGTGAGCACTAGTTAGAAATTAATATTAGTTGATTTTTAAGCCAAAAGGGGGTTGTGCTGTGTTTTTGGAGTGCATTAGGAAAGGCCTATAAATTCATATAACAGCAGGCTGCACAGCTGCCAAGAGAATATCTTTTTCTTAGGCCATATATTATAGCTATTAGCAGCATCAACTCATCTCAACACTGATGGTATAGTGTGATATTGTCTAATGGGAGTTGTGTTTCCTTGGCAGATTCCCTACCAGAATACTAACGCAGTGCCAAAGATACCAGCATTTGCAGACTTCAAGTCAAAAGAACAAGTAAGCTTATTGACCCATCTTTCTTTACTTCTTTTTTAAACAATCTGTGCTACACGTCCAGAATTTCCGTAATTCTAGTTGATATATTACATTCTATTTAGAGAGGCTCCCAGGTGCAGAAATAGTTAAGGAAAAGACTCCAGTCATATTTTGACTCCAGTGTCTAATGTCTCCATTCATATATTGCTGTCTTTTTCTTCACACAGTTTAACCCAATCTACTCCATTCTTTAGAATAAAGATTACTAAGCATCCACTGTTTCTGGTATTGACACTGTTTAGCAGACAAGCGAGATCAAAATACACCCCCCCAGCTCTTAAAGTACTTACTTTTACTGCTAAAAGAATACAAGAATACTTTCAGAAATAAAAGTGTTAATAGTTTATTTTTTATCAATTAACAAAATGGAAAGTAAATCAAATCAATATTTGATGTGACAGCCCTTTGCCTTCAAAACAGCATACATTCTTCTAGGTACACTTGCACACTGTTTTTGAAGGAACTTGGCAGGTAGGTTGTTCCAAACATCTTGGATAACTAACCCTAGTTCTTCTGTGGATGTAAGCTACCTCACATCCTTCTGTCTCTTCAGGTAATCCCAGACAGACTTAATGTTGAAATCAGGGCTCTGTGGGGGCCAAACCATCACTTCCAGGACTCCTTGTTCTTCTTTACGCTAAAAATAGTCCTTAATGACATTGGATGTATGTTTGGGGTCACTGTTCTGCTGCAGAATACATTTGGGGCCAATCACACACCTCCCTGACACCATTGATCCTGACCAAACCTCCAACTCCGTTGGCAGAAATGCGGCCCTAGACTTGCAAGGAACTTCCACCAATCACTGCTACAGTCAAATATAAAAATTTTTTACTCATCAGTACAGACCACCTACGGCCATTTTTCTGTGGCCTTGCTGCCAAAAAGCCATACCTCCAACATGGAAACAAGGCTAAGCGACTTAACTATGCATGAAAACATGGGAACTGGGAAGCAGAAAAATGGCAGCAGGTTGTCTGGACTGATGAGTCAAAATATGAAATATTTGGCTGTACCAGAAGTCAGTTTGTTCACTGAAGGGCCGGAGAGCACTGCAGCAAGTGTGAACCATGGTGGAGGTTCATTGTAAGTCTGGGGCTGCATTTCTGCCAATGGAGTTGGAGATTTGATGAGGATCAATGGTGTCCTCAATGCTGGGAAATACAAGCAGTCCATCATGCCATACCATCAGGGACGTGTGTGATTGGCCCCAAATTTATTCTGCAGCAGGACAACAACCCCAAACATACAGCCAATGTCATAAGAACTACCTTCAGCGTAAAGAAGAACAAGGAGACCTGGAAGTGATGGTTTGCCCCCCCACAGAGCCCTGATTTCAACATGGAATCTGCCGAAAATGTTGGTTCGATTGACGCATGTGACTCACGTTCAATAAAAATGAACAAGAATTCCGTATCCTGTGAGTGCTGGTGATTCCTTTCATCCGTATTGTGAGAACACACGGCACCATCCGTGTCATCACTTCGAGCACCACTATTCAGAAAAAGAAAGGTCTGCAGAGCCCTATGGAGTGCAGGTGGCAAAATACAATACTTGCTTAAGCAATACATATCTCCAAACGGACTTAGATGTGAAAGTCTGAGACTTTTGCTTTCTTGCACTTGGAGAAAAAGGTCAGTGTCTTCTAACACAAAGAAAGGCTGTTAAAACACTTATTTATTCTTCTTTTTGAAGCTTTCTTTCGTCCTCCTGATAGACAGTGCTCCACAAACCTCTAACCTGCACCACTCGTCCTGTCTTAAAGCAGATCTCCAGGATTTTCTAGTGGGGCTACCCCGGTACTGCAAGTGTTAACTGCTCGTTTTGATCTAAGGAATGGAATAAAGAAGATTCATTGCCCTGATCCTGCAGTGGTGACAGTACACCTCTTGCCCCTCCACTCCGGCAGTGGTATGTCCCTTGGCATCCTTACGTGTAAGGCGGGTGAATGGACCTTGCATAGACGTGATAATGTCAGCGGGGCTTAGACTGCTGGAACCCAGGGGAGAAGAGGTTGCAAGTACCTGTCTAATAGCTAGGTGGGATGGAGGATCAGGTAAGTATATTTTCTTTACTTGCACCCATAGACTAAAAGAAGCAGTTAACCCTTGCAGTGTGGGGGTAGCCCCACCACAAAGGTTAACAAGAGGTGAAAGGAAATCTTCCCAATGGAACATAGACAGCAAAAGTAAACTGATAGAGATTTTTGACTGTCTTTATCCAAAATGTAAAGTAGTAAAATGTTGGCTTTACATACATTTAATAACTTTAATTGTAGAAAGACTTCTAAAAGACATCTACTCTATGGAACTACTATTACATCTTCAGTTCTGATTAGAAAATGCTAGGTAACTGGCAGTTGTGATTTCACTTGTGCTTTCATACTTTCTGAGTTACTGCCTCTGAACAAACCTGCTAAACTTAATTTCTGACTTTTCTTCTAACGTATCTGATCTGCAGATTTTTGACAGTTTCTCTTAACCTGTGGACAAAAGACTGTTTATTAGTGTCTGAAGAAAAACTGTTTCAAGCAGTTTGCATCATGTTTATATTACACATTGTAGCATTTCATTATGTCTGTTTAATCTGAGATATGGAATGCTGACGAGCACTAGTCTAATTGAATTTAGTAAGCAACACAGACTGTCTGAAACATTTCCAGCATCACAGTACTTCCTTTGCATGCTGTGATAAATGAGATCCAATATACAATTTGGCTAACTACTGACAAAGGTAATACAAGATACTCTTTAAGTATGATCCAGTAATTCATGTACTATACAGTCTGAAATGTTTCTTAATTGCAAGCAAATTGGTATAAAACAATAGGCAGGTATAAATGAGTTTGTACATCACATTTTCAGTCATCGCATGTTCCACTAGATGGCGCTCTAAGGTCATTTCAGGCCTAAACAGATGAGTTAGATTAGCCAAGTAATGGAAACGTTTGTCTGGCTTTGTTTATTGTGTAGATTGTAGTTGGTCATATTCTGGACCTGTTCTATCATTTTGAAGATATTACAGAGTACTCATCAGAGTGGCTCCTTCAGTTTTCAGTTCAAATGAGTGGCAGGATGCTACTCCAGCATTTTTGGCTACATGAACAACTCGGTGACCTTAGTTAAATAATTCATAAAAGACAACAACTATATGGTATAGATAACTATACAATTTCTCTGAGTTGGTTAATAACTTGCAAGCATAAGTAGGAAAAATACCACCTTTTCCAAGAAAAAGGATGGATAAAGAAGTTCTAATTCAACCAATTAAATATGAATTTAGCCAGATGGAAAGGTGGTATTTTTTCAACTCAATTACCTTAACCTTATTATCCATGGTGTCATGAAGTTTGGCAAAACAGAGATTTATTTTCCAAGAACATGACTGGAGGTGTGAAAGTTTGTGGATACACACGGTTCTAGTCTAGATCAGGTGTAGTTTAAGTTACGTGACTGAAGGGGTTAAATCGCCATTGTAAAGATGTTAAAACAACATTGTGGGTGACAGATGGTTTCTATGCCCCTGACCCCTGCTCACAAAGGTTTTTTAACATAGGTGGTCTCTTTCACACCTTTTGCAAACCAGTTTTCCTCTTTGTCTAAAATGTGCAGCTCACTTCCTTCAAAGAGCTGTGGGGAGTTAGTGTGGACTGTTGAATGCATTCATTTGATTAGAAACGCAAACAATCATATTTTTAAGGCAAAACTAGTATTATTCTATTAAAAGCAACCTGTCAAGATAAAAATATTTGAGCTGCCGTTGCTACCTTGTTTTTGAAGCCCTGGGTCTGTGATCTTTATAATTTATTTATATCCCCATGAGCTGAAAATGTATGTGCATCAGATGTTCCATCACTTCACTGGCTGCGTGCTTATCCCTAGTCATCAGACAGTAAAGAAAGGGTCTGGGAGCTTAAACTTTCAAATTGAATCAAAGGTAGATGGCATTGCACATCTGTAATTGCAGTAGTCTGGAGAAAACCCAGATGAGAACATTTGCCTGGGTTTAGTTCGCAAACAGTTTGGCAAATCTTTTGACATCAAAGTCTGCGGGTCGAGGGGATCGGGGCAAATTAAATTTTGGCCAAATGTAGGGCTAATAAACTATTGACAAACAAAAGGAATGGGATGCTGCCATGGGAGATGTGTACCAATGCCAAAAAAAACAGTATGTCTTACTACACAGAAATGGCAGCTCTTCCTAACATCTCAACACACATAGACAATATGGCTACTGTAAGCCCATCTTTTTATAGAAAAGGAGTTGGAATATCCATTCCTTCAAATTATTGGCTCTTGGGACTCCACTGATCAGGAGCAAAGGCTATGCACTGAATTGTAGGTTATTCCTTATGCAGAGGTGAACCTGCAAACATTTGTGATTCATGAACCCTGGGGATTCAGCGTGAACCTGTGGTAGCAGCAAACCCAAATTTCATTCCTGTCTATCTACTATTAAATGTTTTTTTAATAAGATATAATATTTAATGTTGGTCTACTGTGTATGTATGCTACTGTGTAAAATTGTCACTTCTTTTTTTTCAGTTGCACAAATATGTTTACTTGACTGTTTCCAAAATTGTCGTGGCAGTTTTTTCCTTCTTTTGCTACGTCGTGTACATTATATACAGTATATTTATTTTACTCCCTTACACAGCACTGAACATTTTTTGTTCAACACTTTACATAGAATATTGAGCCATTCACATTAGTCCCTTCCCCTGAAGCAACCTACAATTTAATGTCCCCAGCACAGTTACATAAAACACTCCAGTTTGGCTGAAAGCCATTTAACCTACCAGTGTAGCATCATTTCCACAGCATCACAGTATTTCTTTGAGTAAATGATAAATCTTTTATTACATTTTTAATTGAACATTCCTGCTAGTAAGTTCGCCTTTTGAAGCCAAATGTGATTTGTTTTCAGAGTGAACGAGCCGCAGAGATTGAATTACATCCACAGACAAATAAAATCCTGCCGCAGACGGAGGAGAACAATCCTGCCAGAAAAGTAGGTTTTGGGAGACTATCAGTCATATTTGTTTTTCATTGCTAATACCGTCTACTGTAAAATAAAGTTCTCCTTAAAGTGGATCTTTTAGTAACTTTATACGACTGCATGAATTCCTGAAATGTCAAAATATACAGAAGCAATATCATTTATAAAGAAACCCCCTACATTTTAACATTAAAAAGCCATCTGTTGGCGTAAGTAGTCGAGTGACTTGGCTGAGATGTCATCAGTCTGCTGCAGACAGGAGAAACTATTTCCTCAGTCTCCTCTTATCCCAATGATCAGACTGCTGTAATTTTGTACCAAGCCAAAGTAGCAGCCATAATGTAATGTACAATCTTAAAATATACCGTCACTTTTGCTGAGGAAAACATTATCTGCGCCTTGTCAACTGCACATATTGCAAGGTTGTTATTTTTTGCAGATTTCAATCTGCTGTTTAGTGCCTAGCACAGTAGAGCCTTCTTGAAGTCTCATTTCGTCGCATGTCCCAAAAAAAGAGGATTATTTTTCATGTCAAGACGGTGGGCAGAGCCATGCAAATCATTGCTTTAGTCCCTATTAGCCAGATGCACATCCAAAATTGCTGGTGTGAGTGAGGGCGTTTTCATTGCTTTAGGGCCCATTTACACCAGAGCGTAGCAATAAGCACAAGTTTACCATACATTTTGAGCACTCTATCTCACAGCGCACCTAACACGCGGTACCACATGCTAGGTGTGCTGTGTGATGGCATGCGTTAAATGCATGGTATCCTGCATTCATCGCAACGTTCTGGTATGACTGGGCCCTTAGCCCCTTCTCACCATGTGTTGAGTTGTCAGCTCCTTGCAACAGTTTAGGGTTTGAGTACAAATCTTAGATTGTTGTAACCAGGTTTGAATCAGTAATAATAAGTCTGAGCTTGTTAGGTGTACTGTATGTGTGTCATTATTACTCTTTGGATCAGTCTTGCTAAATATTTTGGATCAATTAGCTTTTAGCAGGGGTTCACTGGAACCTGAAAATTATTACATTTATGGTGAATGCGTAAAACCCGATCTTATATTTTTGGTCATTGGGAGAAGAGCCTGCTTACATTGGGGGTCCGTGGAAGAGGTATCACCTTACATTAATGGTCAGTGTGAAATATATATTGTCAGTCAATCAAAGGAAAAATGGTCCTTATATCGGTGATCAGTTAAAATAATTGATAACCAAGAATGACGTGTTATTTTTTTGCTTAGTGGCAGGAATGCTCCTTACTCTGGGAGTCATTGGGGAGAATGCCGCTTACACTGCTGGCCAGTGGAAAGAATGCCCCTTATGCTGGTAGTCAGTGGGAAGACATTGGTGGAGGAAGTAAGAACAGGAATGTCCCACCACAATGTTGAAGTCCAAAGGTGTTTTTTCGAATAAAAGATTCAAGTGAGATCTGTATATTTAGCCGTTTTGGAGGCTCAAAAGTGCCCTTTTCATCAGGGCTTGATATAGAAGTAGAATATTATTGATTGGATGGATTTCTAATGTTGGAGGATTGTTGGAATGAAGAGATAACTTAATGTATGGTTTATTATTTAAAGATAGACGGCACCCTCATCAGCAGCTAGTTATTGCAGTTGCTGATGAACATGCCAGCTTAGCTATGAATAAACAAGCATGCTTATCACATTGTCAGTGATCACTCATCTGATAGATGTCACTGAAACTATGGAGGCAACATCAGGTGGGAGGTCAATCCGCCAGTGCTCACTGATTAGGGAACCCCTAGCAACTTCTGAAGGAACTCTTTAGTTCCACAAAATCATGGTTAAGAAAGGCTGTAGTGTCAACATATTCTGCAGCACATTAGAAAAATAATGTAAGAACTCTGTGCTCAGGATTTAACACTCTAATCAGATTTAAAAATGTAAAGGTAAGGAAAATGTTGTTTGCCTTATCCAGCTGATGTCTGAGATTGGGGCTGTTTTCTTTCACCACCCTTCTTCTGCCTATTGGAACTGCCTGGAGAAGTAACTGAATAGCGTATCTCTCTTTCAAAGGGTTCATGGTCATTTGATTCATTGTCCTTTGGGGATTCTGCACATGACATTGATCACTTTTTGTTTTTGTTTGGCTTCAGTTCATGGGAAAGATATGCCCATTGGTCACGCCACTAAATTTAAAAAAGTATTCAGATTTTGAAAATATCTAACAGGTTTAAAATTTCCAAATTGCTTAAACAGAATGATGTTTGCATACCAGGTCACCTGTTTATCCTTGGGCTGTTTTAAATTCAAATTTCACATAAAGATTTCTTTCCGTGGTCAGTTACGTGTTTTTTACCACGATGTTGAAATCAGGCACATTGTGCAGTGACGTTTTATCAGATGTCATGAACTGAAGATCATTTTCCAAGCTACTTACGTTCATGATCTTCGTGGCATGCACATCTTGTACCATACTAGTACTGGTACTTAACATTATTTCTCTGTATATTAGATATGAAGATTAAGGTCTCTTAATAAGCTGAGCACTTTAAAAAAAAAACCCGCAGAACAGAAATAAAAATCTGTGGTTAGTTAGGGATGAGGAGACATTTTAGGGTAGCAGAAAATAAAACCTATGGCCAGAACCTTAAAGCCTAAAACCAGCTTTTATTTATATATTTTTTAAATGTGGGTTAGAGTGGTGAGTTTGAAGCGATTTGAAACGTTCCCATCTTTTAAAAAAAATGTATCCAAACCTTTTTCTTAAAAAGTTCACTAAGTAGGTGTGGCTTTGACTGAGAGGATTTTTCTATCGGGATTTTTTTGTCACTGGGTAGCAAGGCATGGGCAGCTTCTTTTAACATTTGGTAGCTTTACATTGGGGCATGTAAACTAACTAGATAATTTTGTTGAAAACACATAAAAGGTCATGGGTCACTAGCCATGGTTTTTCATACTGGGTGCCTAAGAGGCTCTCCATGCAGGAAAGATGAATTATGGTTTGGAGAACCATGATACCTAGTTTTAGAACAGTCTGTGATGGATATGTGAGTTTAGATTACTTTCTAAACAGTAGTATGAGACTATAGCATTTGACCTCTAGAGGGAGCAAATACATAAATCAATATATGTAGCCAATAACTACACAAATACTAAACTGACAGGGCATGATAGTGGACATCTATTGCACTTTTCATGTAAATAAAACATTAAAAAACGTTTACTGTTTTTCTGCTTGACCTCCTTACTACTGTTATACAAACATCAATACAAGCCAGTTTAAATTTAGATGTAAACCATAACTGAATGGCATTTAGTTTGCTAAAGCATTGTGTATCATAAAGAATTGCCATTTTTTTTTCTTGTAGAAAATACTGTTTTCACCTTTTTAACGGTTTTTTGTCTCAATGATGAATATGTCCTAAAGCCACTGTCTATATGCACTCAATCTAAAGGTAGCTTGTCAGTGCTTAGAGTGGGCTTTCAGATGGTGACAACGGCAGAACACGCCTGCGCAATGTGGATCGGCATGCCCACCTATAGTCTTATAGTCTCCACTGGAAGTCCATGTGTCAGGGTGACAGCGCAGGAGTATTATTGGGAGACAATGACTGAGCGTTGTTACCCTATAACAGGAAGGGCCTGAACAAGGACCTTCATGGCAGGACTACCAGGTGTTATTTTACTGAAAGCTGCAGAGTTAAAAATATTAAAAATTATTTTTGATATAAAATTCAAATACTAGAATATGTGATTGGATTTACATATACTAGAGACTTTAGTGATTGCGTTTATATTAGGGATGCACCAATATATTGCGCTGCGGGAGGAGAGCGTTGTGAGCGGCCGGCGTCTCTCCTCCAGCACCGCTCAGCCTCCTATCACAGTCCGGCAGAGTGGTGTGGGGGCGGAGACAGCCCGCGCTGTGACAGGAGGCTGAGCTCTCCTCACTGCACCGCTCGATCAGCCTCCTGTGACAGCGTGTCGGAGAGGGGCGCAAGTGCCAACACTCAGTGATCGCTGAGTGTTTGCAGATAATTGAGGACATGGTACAGTATGTGTACTGTATCCTCAATTATGAATGAATGGGAGTGATCTACATCACATCCTGTTTATTCATAATTGTGGTTATAGTAAACACACAATGTCCTCATGTTATCAATGAACAGGAACACTCATAGAGAATTCCTGTTCATTGATAACTGGGGCTGCAGAAAAAGAGATTGAGGACTTTGGGTTCTCAATCTCTTTTTCTATTTTAATAGAGAAATATCAGGGGGTCTCTTTAGACCCCTAATATTTCCCCGAAGCCTCTAAAAGTAAAGTAAAAAATAAAAATATTTAATACAAAAATTAGTTAATAAATATTAAAACAATTTGAAAAAATTAAAATAAAAATATTTTCTGTTTCGGCCTGACATTTTTTTCTGTTTTCTGTTTCGTTTTTGAAATTTCCATTTCGGTGCACCTCTAGTTTACATATAGAGGGCAGTTAACATATCCGCATGCTTTTTTGGTTGGTGGACGGAAATGAATGGAAATTTGGGAAGAACATACAACTTATATTCAAATAAAGCTCCTGGTGTGAATGAAACCCAAGATGCAAGCTCGGCAAGGCTACTGGGTTAACCACATACAGTATTACCCAGAAACAGTTTATGTGCAAGGAATATGTGAATGGATTTATGTATGCCTAAGTGCTTATGTTTATCTTTTTTTCTCCTAAAGGAAATAGTCCTCAGCCAACCACCAACCAAACCATTACGGCGAAAATTCCATCCAGAAAGCCAGGCTTTGGAAAATCATGACTTGTCTTCTGCATCGATTGTGACCTCATCAGCTGCATCTCTAAAGTCCCATACAGCCGTTCAAAAGTATGTTGGGTATAGCATAGTCTCGTTCCAGTTACTTTGTATCAGGGGGTGGAGTAGGGGGTTGGAAATGAGTTCAGACATTCATCAGATCTGGGGCACTTTAGTTTTAGTGCTGTAAAAATAAACTGTGGTAATTAGCTTCTGTAGGTTGGTATTCAGCTGTGAAATATGTTATGCTTTGCACGCTGCTGATTTATCCAGTTCATGACACTGACCTCGTCTTTACACACTGGAGTTCCGTCACAGTTCTCTTTCACCATAAATAACTGGCTTTATGCTGACCTTCTAGTGTCACCATTTGGTCTGCAAACTAATCGAGTCCCTTTTCCTTTGCAAATTACAGATATGGGAACACATGAAGCTAAATGCCATTATTTCATTGCGAATTGTGTATTTTACTGTCTGTTAAATGATTACATTTCTGTAGAAATTCTTTTTTTTTTTTTATAAATTCTTTTATTGTATGGAGAGGAGAGGACAATTCACTGTAGCCAGGTAGTGCAATAACTGGGCTCTAATTCCCTCACTGGTTCCTATATCTTTTACCTCGATCTAAATGGTCATGAATAGGTGGCGAGGTTCCATCCATTAGAGTGACATGTGACAGGTGTTCCTGAGCGTCGTGTCTCGGGGAGATAGACAGCGTCTAGGCATTGCGGTATCCAGGGGGAGGCACGGCTCTGTAGAAATTCTAATCGTTTCCCTTCACTAGCCATCACCTAACAAGCTAAGAGACATACTTGTACATGTAGTATGGTTAAAGTTATGGTTACCCAAAGTGTCTTTTAATTCATATATTCATACTGACATCCACCCTATAGAGTGGTTGTTTGCCTTCTAGGTTATAGCCTGAATGGCAGTGATTAAAACCAATTGAAGTCACAGAAATAAATTTGCAGTCAGACAGTGCACTAACAGCCTTCATTTATGGGCGCGGAGATCCCAGTGTCCTAGCAACCAATGATGCTGTGTGGCCGAGCATCACTGGTTTCTAGGAGGCTGTTGGAAGTAAATTGTGATTGGCTGTGGTTTCTAGGATACAGGCCTAAACAAGGAGTGATTTGTAGTGATTCTGGCGCATCTTAGCAACAGATTCATGTACATGTTTCTGACATTTGTGGTACGGTGGCACAGACACTCTTCTAAAAAGTGTCTGCATCACTGTTTATTAAATCCAGAGATCCTTTATAAAGCAACTCCTTTGTCACCTCAGAAATTGTGATGTTATTATTTTGGCAAAAATTCCATGCTGTGGACAATGTGCCAAAAAAAACAATCCCAAAATAAAGTGCTGTGCTATTTAGTGCACTGAGCCACGCACAAATATATAAATCTAGATGCATTGCGCTAATAAGTAAAGAGTATATATGGGCTCAAAATGAACAGTGTGACCTATTCATATATAAATGTCCGCTTAAAAGTCCAATATACCAATACACATATATATTTTTTCTTTGTGCTCCCATCCACGGACTTCGCCGTGCCAACCAAAGCAAGTAACCGCACTTACCAGAAGTACCTGACTACCGTAGCAGCTGATGGTCATATACAGCTCTCCTTTCCGATTTCAAGGTGATCGATCAGCTCAGGGGGAACAATTGCAGAAAATCATAGTGTAGTATATAAGAACCCACTTTATTAAGAAGGTTAAAAACACTAATTTTGTATCCAATTACAAGCAATTTTCCTCCGGTGTACACAACATCCACTGCCACCTAACTTCCTGTAAGACGTCCTGACATCAGCATGGACCCGCCAGCTAGCCCCCCAGAAGCTTCCCACAGACAGAGGATTTTAGGTACTTTCAAAAGTTCAGGAGTAGAGTGCACACCAGCTATATTATGTTAATTAACTAGAGCAGAGCATTTGGATTTTATTCATTAATTTATTCCACTCTGCGTCACACCACTGCACTCTGCGTCACACCGCTGACCTCTGCATTACTAATGACATCAGGCCGCCACATTGAAGCAAGAGTGTATGAAGCTTCATATTATTCTAATGCACTGCTGTATAATGTATTGCTGTGATGTGTAGTCCCCTATAGCTGGTGGTATTCTGCATTGCAGTATAATGTATTGCTGGGATGTGTAGTCCTCTATAGCTGGTGGTATTCTGCATTGCAGTATAATGTATTGCTGGGATTTGTAGTCCTCTATAGCTGGTGGTATTCTGCATTGCTGTGTAATGTATTGCTGCGTGGCAGGCCTCCATGGTGGATCATGTCTTTAGACCTGCTTCTGTGCTCCTTTTTTTGGTGCGGCGGTGCCCCTCCTGATCCACCATGGAGGGGAGGCTTGAAATCACTTAATTCAAGTCCCTCCTCCATGACAGATTAGAAGGGCCACCACCGGGAAAATAGAAGTGAGCCCAGAAGCGGCTTCTAAATTAAAGCAGCACTGGAGAATGAGGCAATTTGAAGCCTCATCTTTTTGGTGGATCAGGAAGTCAATCACGACATCCTTCGTTGTCCACGCCGACTTGGCAAAATAATAAAAACGACTCCCGCCATCCCGACCGCACCGTCGAATTAAGAATCTGACAGATGCCAGCAAAATATAAACAATTGGGCGGAGTTCGCGGTGACATCACCGCTAGCTTCCCCCAACTGTTTACATTAGGTCGCCATCTGCCAGACAAATGAACACAACTGGGCAGAGCCAGCAGTGATGTCACGGCCGGCTCCGCCCAGTTGTTGTCATTTAATGACTGCCCAGTGTCCTCAACCTGAAGATACGGCTAGATCCTTCGGCTCCTTAGTGAATAACCCTCATAGTGTTTGTGGCATGCTAGAAGGTCTGCATTAGCACATGAGAAAATGTTTTTTTTAAAACGTCCTCCCACCCTGGAGAGTGCACTGTTCAGCTGATTGCTGGTATGTGTGGGGATCGCTGGAGGTTGAAGGAGATTAGCAATACTGTTACTAAATACTGGCTGCTTTCTAACCATGCACATTAGAAGTTCATGGGGTTCTACTGCACACGGGCAGACAGCGGGAAGTAGTGTACGCACCGGCCACAGGTAAACATTGTGTCAGAATGCTGGGGCACTAGGTGCCAGAACTGTGTTAGTATATTGAGGAGGAGGAGGTGGATGGGTTACATGAGGAAAGGAGGAGGGGGGCGGTGGTAAACGTTAATAAAATGCTGTTTAAAGTTTTCCTTATCCTTCATTTCAATATCCATGATAAGGCAGTTATATATGTTTTTTGCATGATGATTAACAATAAAAGTGTTCCACTTAATATACTCTGAACTGCTTTTAAACATATTTGAGAAGATCTCAAATATATCATATAGCAACTCAGATTTAATAAGCTTGATGTTTCTTTCAACATATTAAAAAACACATACTACCTGCTATTTTGGAAAGTCCTTATAGTCCATGCATCTCACAGCCAGCAGTTCCGATCAAAATATTAGGGTCCTCTTCACACTATCCAAATGGCGGCAGCAAGTGTGAGGCGGGGAGCAGGTGCGGCGTGTGGATGTGGGCGGGCAGGTCTGTCAGTGGCAAGCGAGAGGCGGGGAGGAGGTGCATCGATTTATAATCGATTAGTTGTTGCAGCCCTACATTCATCCCCGATTTCGAGGGACAGTCCCCGGATTGAGGAGACCGTCCCCAGACAAATGATATCCCCGGGAACATAAAATAAACCAATGTTTTTTTAATACTCCCCTGATCCCTGGATCCACCGACAAGTGCAGCCCCCTGTCTCCCACGCTGTTAGAAGCTGCATACAGAGCGTGCTGGTTACTACTTAAACCGGCGCGCGCTGTGTGCAGCTTCTGAGAAGATACGCTATTAGCATAGCGAGGAAGCCGGCTGCGCATTTTGCATCGCTCCCGCTACGCTAATA